AAAAAAAAAAAAAAAAAATCCTTAAAAAGGTTTCATGAAACATTCTCATCTAAGTATAAAACATGTGCATATACATGCACATTTTTAATTAGGGTATTGTCAACAAGTCCAGTGAGCCTGACCAGAAAACCAACCATGTTCACACAAATTTTAGTTTAATATATATATATATATACCATGTGAAATATTATTAGGATTACAGCCAAGAGCACTTAACTAATTATTCAATGCAATGTAATATTATAGATTGTGAGCTTTGATGTCAAGTCCGTTACTAGCTAATAACCTAAAATACTTTGGTATTGAATAACATGACTATAATGTCACAATAATTATTAATTGTTATCCAGTAAACTAGAAGGTAATTTTTTGCAAACATTTTCTCTTCCTATACACAAATCATAGTAAAAACAAATGTTTACTGGCAATAGAATGTTTCCTCCAGTATTTTCATTAAACCTAAAGCATTAAGTTTTTTTATCAAATCTGAAGAAAATTTAACGAAACAACAGGCTTGAATAATACTGAACCTTAAATGAATCTATTAATCAGGTATTCTGTTCATCTAATAAAGAAATATAAGAATTACTTTATACATCCAATATTGCTACAATAATTGTAAATTATGTATGATATACGTATATATATATATATCAGATAGTTAAGTTTATAACAACAACCCTTAAAAAATTATAAGTAAATTTTTGTGCATGAATTAAAAAGTGCTAATGCTTACATGCATGTGATATCAGATTAGCTGTAAAAGTGGAATTAAAAAGACACCTATAATTACAATTTGAAAAACTAATAGATAAACATTATTTTTCCTGCAAAGGGCATGAGAAAGATAGTGATAATATTATATAATGCTGCATTATTGGTTCAATCATATATGCTGGAGTCTTTTTTTTGGTTTCAAAGAACAAGCAGGAAATACAAAGAGCAACATATGGCTTAAGACAATTTAATTATTTCTCTTTTTATCTCTTTACAGCTATGAAAAGATTGTACTGTGACAGAAAGACTGTAAAAAAAAACGAACTATCACCCAACTTTACAAATTTCTTATGTTAACATGATCCTTAGATGTACCTAACATAAGATCATGCTACAAAAATTAAAACAGCAATAACATTTAAACATTAAAAAAGACAAATTTTAAGAATATATCATGTCTTTGGTTATTTAAAGTATTTGGTTAATTAGTTTTCAGTTGTAAAAAAAAAGGACACACACATTTGTATTTAATTTCTACGATTTTTTCATATTGTACATTTTTAAAATGTATGATATGCAAAAACAAACATTTCCAGAGATAAATGCATTTTAAAAGCCTCATTCTGAAATGAAAAAAGTAAGACATTAAAACTTTTTGTCAAACAACTTTTCAAACAAAGAATGCCTTCTTACCATGTCCATTTTCAGCATGAAGTTGATACTGAACATTTGGATCCATTAGACTGCTTCCTTGTGGGCTGAGATTTAGCCCTGTGCCATGCTCCACTCCTTCCATCACACCAACAGTTCCCTCTATATTAAATTAATGAATTGTAAGTAGAAACATTGCTTCACTTGCACATACATGTAAGGTACCCAACTGTTTTATGATTCTCCAGCACAAAAGGATCTGGGATTATTTGTTAAAATGATATAAATAATTATTAACCAAAAGTATTACAAAGATAATCTAAATTGTACTCTTTACTCTAAAATGGCCCAAATATGCTAATTTAACCATACATATGTAATATCTGTTTAGGCAAGTAGCCACATGTACAATGCTATACTATAGCCGACTTCATATTTGACGTCTTCATGTACATGAATATTCAGTTTCACAAACTGAGGTAAAGCAAAGGGGCTTTTTGATCTATACTACAATTTATCATTAACAGACGCAGTAAATATTTATAATTCTTTAGAGTAGTTACAGGATGTATGAAAATCATAATGTTAAAATAAGTTTAAAAAATTCTTTAATATCATGCACAAAGTAGCCATTATAATACAATATGGAGAATAATTTATGTGAACATGCACTGAAATTAAAGCAAGCATTATACACATACTTTTGCCTAACTACATTTTTTCCAAGTATAATGAATCAACATAGTTGGGCAGTTTAGCATTGTCTACAAAAGACTTTCACAAAAATGAAACAGATCAACCCAAATCATATTAACAGTCTTGAATGTCTATAACATTTGGTGAATTTTGTGTGTAAGTTAATGCACTTATTAGAAATGAATTAATGAAGTATTGTAATGAAATACTTTACACAAGTTTCAAGTTATTGTAATGCATTATATCTGCAAATGTTAGACAAAATTTTAATTTGGCATTACTTAAAGATCAAATTATATTAATTAATCATTAAGGTATTCTCTCTACTAAATGATTTTTGTTTATTCAGCTTGATCTTACATGTACATGTATAATGTAGTTGTACATCATAGCACAATAATGTCCAATGGTAAAAATAACAAATACTTCAGTGACCTTCTTGAATATGATGAATTTCATCTGCCCTTCCTGACTCAGCTTTTTCTGCACCACTGAAGGAAAAATGAGAAATTTATATTAATTCCATTAGGATTAGAAAAATATTATTATTTATATAATTATTATTATTATACACATACATTTAATTCTGAATATACACATATGTATATATAATAATTTTTGAGATGGACAAAAACTTGTAAATAAATATATTTCAGTTGAAATTGCTCTAATAGTAAAATATTTAAATCAATTTTAGTTACATTTACACTTGCAAGTAACTACCTTCTAATGTATTGCAACAAGAGGAGCAAGATTTTTAACCTTTGATGTCACAGGGTGATTAAGTTGATTAATGTATTACCGAGAAGCATCATCCAAATCAATTAATGTCACAAAAATAATCAACTAATCAGAATTAGTGTTACTGATTATTACTATTTGCAACTGTTCTAAATATCCAAGTAATCAAAACAGTGCAATTATTATTTCTCATAATTATATTTGATTAATTAAAGGTTATTCAGCTCAATAGATTAACATTATGACTCATGAAAATAATCAACTAATTGAAATTAGTGTTCCAAATTGTTACTATTTTCAATTATTCCTGTCAAGTCTCATATGAGAACAACTGACTAATGAGCCTGACAACTAATCAATTAGCAAATTCCACTAACAGACCAGTTCTAGTCTCAATTCATGGGGATGATCAGGAGCATAGAGGCACAGACTCTCCAAACCTTGCAGAAATGTGAAGGAATAATACGAGTGTATGTATCATTAAACTGAAGCTTATTAATCAAATCCTCTGTGAATGTAAAGTCATAGTCATGTACTTAAACCTCACAATTTATCTACACTGATGAATAAAAAAACAACATGCTAATCTTAGTGGATGTAATGCTGGCATCAGTGATAGTATACATAAGATATATATATATATATATATATGTATTAATGAAGTGCTCATTAAATTAAAGTTAACTTTACATACTTCATGATCAGCAAACTGGGTGGATGACTGACATGATAATGTTCCTATCAACTCTACATTAAAATATCTGTGTCTGTGGGTCAGAAAGAATGGCTATCTTGTGTCACTATTTGATGTATACGGTACGAATAACTAAACAATAATTTCTGTGTAGGTCTAGCTTATTCTTCCAAATATTCGGAGAGAAAATTGTCATATCAATTCTAGAGTAAAAATATCTTGTTTTAGTAAACTAAATAAATAGTCTTTTCTATGGAATTAGAGTAGTGAAGTGTACAATGGAAGAATCTGACTTTTGATGTGATGTGTGCTCATAGCTTATATCATTCTGTAACTTCATAGGTAAAATGTATAAGGAAATAACAACAGAGTTTCTGTTAGCTTTTATTATCGAGGGGTGACCTAGATAACCCTTTCATCATTCTTATTCTTTTTCCCTTTCTAATTGATAATGAATAACTTTCATATCACTACACTATACACAATGATGCAGTAATCAGGGGACAAAACCCACCCTCATTCACTATGAAAATAAACCAGAAAATGTATGCAGAATTCAATGTTATCATTTATCACAGCACTAAAAATATAGGAGTATGAACAAGGAAAATACACAATATATAAATCTAATAAAGCCTTTTTTAACTAATGACATAGAGATTGAATATTAGACATTAACTGAATAAATAAAATGCTTGATGTCTTTTAGAAATGTAGACAAGTATGAATTTTGCTTTACTATTTACATTTCACTTTCTCTAAAGTTCAATAAGGTACAATATCAACAGAAACATTATTCAATTATATACTATTACTAATAATTTTAAGATGCCACTGATTTCATGTTAGTGTTTGTATGACTAAAGTTTAGAAAAGATAAATTTCACACTCCTTTATGATTTTCAGTGAAAAAGATTTCTTATAGGTCAAGTACAAAACTAACAGTGTTCGTGTTGAATATTTTCCTTTAACTGTGTGTATATTTTTTACATATTAATTCATAAATTATAGAATCTACGTAATTGTTTAATAATTTATTTTCACAACTATGCTTGTAATATAATTTTACAAGTTTCAACTAATATTAGTAATAGTAATACTACTGAGTAATAACAATCTTAATATCTCATGCCAGATACATACTAAGTTGTTTAACAGTTACGTACGTATTACTTAAAAATTAGGCCTCAGTCCTCAAGTACAATTCAATACGCAGCTTTTATCTCCTCAATGATGTTCTTCGTTTTCTCAAAATATTAATGAAATTCGTAAAATATAATTACCTGGTATCCAAACTTTGATCCAGCATATCCATGTGACTAAAATCTAAGCGAGGGTTTGTCTAACTCCAATCCTAAGTCACGGGACCAAACACAAGGTCATGTGAATGTATCAGATGACCAAAACGACAAGATGGCGCATTTAGTTTGCGTTGTTTCTGTACTGGGAGGCAAACAGAACAGCCAATCAGAAACGTTATAGTTATTTGCTGTCGTTTTAAGGAGCAACGAGTTCGATATTACGTTACGAAAACAGGTAGTCTCAGCATTATAAGATAAGTTAATTAAAAAACTAAACAAAAAGAAAACAACTTTCAATGTAATTTATAAAAAAAGTAATAATAATACAACATTATAATCTGAGAAGGAGCCTGTTATCGTTAACTTTCTGGCAAAGAAGATTTTCAGACTAATTCTTCGAGTATATATTGAGGTATTTCTGAACCTCAAGCTTCCAAGCACTAACGAGTGCTCTTCGTTAGTGGAATTAAGAAACAAAAACAGAACAAATAAAAACACCACTTTCAATGTAACGTACAAAAATAAAGTGTTATAACCAAGAAAACTGTCTGTTACCGCATACAAAAAATAAACAACAGCAAGAACAACAACAACAAAAAAAAAGAAACAAAAAACAATTCAGATCAATTTTTGTCATTTCAAAGATCATTTGAAAGCTTGTTTTTTTTTTAAACTTCAGTGTATACGTGGGGTATTAGTTTGAAAACCCACCTTTTTTTTTATCCGAGTGTACTTAATGACAAATGAAAATAGAAAGCTGTTGACTGACTCACTGTGATAGTTCGAGTGATTAATCGAACCCTTTATAAATTATTAACAATTAAAACAGGCTTAACTTTCATTGCAGACCAATAGCTATGATCCAAAGTTGTGAAGATAAAAACTAATTAAATTTAATTATGAAAAATAAAAAAAATTAGAGTCATATTTATGAAGGTGCGATAGATAATGAACACAGACAACTTATGAGATGTAAAAGGGAGTGAAAATTTTATTGCGTAATGATATATCGTAGATTTGATGAAGTTAATTTATTTGTTGTCAATATATTGTGTTCTAAAAGTCTAGTTACAGTGTTGTTCAAGGAGGAATGAGCTAAGACGTGCTTTTAGCCTCTTGATCAGATCAGTACTCTGATAAAGTGAAAAAGATGATAAACAGTTTGATTAATATTGATATTTACAGTTTCAAAGTAAACAGTACATTAATATACACATATATTCATTACTTTTATTAAATCCCAGTTAATTTACCATACACATTCTCGATCTTCTGAAAACATATAGGCATGCTACAAAGTTCAAGAAAGGGTATTATAAAAAAAAAAGTTACTCATATAACTTCATGCTTATTTTCTCTCGACTAATTGCGCAAATATGTTATTAGAGAAATGTTATATTCAAGTTACCTATACATTTTATATCTCAAATAAAACACGGGTGAAGTGATTAAAATAGAAATATGATCAATTAACCTAAAATTATTAGAGGTCTTCGAATTCAAAATTTAAGCTCAAACCGTTGAAACTAACTTTTTCAGTTCGTTCTCATTCACATAATTATCTGACCTTAATATATATATATATATGCGTGTGTGTGTGTGTGTATTTATGATACGTTGTTATTGCTTGAAATTTCTCTTGTGTTCCATCTTAAAAGCAAAGATCAAGAAGGGTTTTACAGTTAAGGATAAATATTCTGAATTTTTTTTTAGTTCGTAGCATCTCTTCAGGGCCACGTCTAAATTTTAGCATAACATTATGAAATTGTCTGAATAAATTAATGATAAAAGATAATAGTAACTCATATGGGTTGTTATCTTCACGTTCAATATTAAGCAAACTGTCAACTTGTTTTTCTCAAAATCTAATTCTTTCTATCTGAGTAGTCATACAATTTGTAGTCTAACATAATTTTTTTCATAAATATTAGAAGTATTAGTACAGAATACTGTGGATAAAAATGATTATAAACTAGTAAATTACGTATGGAAATTCACGGATCAAATTACATATCTTTTGAACGACCTTTTGCAAATTCTTGGTAATTTTTAAGTGAATCCGTGCAGCAAATCCTTCCAATACCTCAAAGGCCAAGTGGTTAGGGTACTCGACTCGCAATCCGCGGGTTCGAATCCCCGTCCCATCAAACATGCTCGCCTTTTCAGCCGTGGGGGCGTTATAAAATGATGGTCTTTCCAACTATTCGTTTGTAAAAAGAGTAGTCCAAGAGCTTGCGGTGAGTAGTGATGTCTAGCTGCCTTTTCTCTAATGGCTCACTGCTAATTTAGGAACGGCTAACGCAGATAGCTCTCGTGTAGTTTTGCGCGAAATTCAAAACAAACGAAAATAAATACTTCGGTCACCATTAGAGGGCTTCAATATGAAAATTTTGAAACATTAAACGTAGATATAGGTGCTTATTTGAACGCTCCCTTGCCTGCCTTTGGCAATTTTCATGTAAATCAGGGTGGCCAACACTAAGAGCTCCCAAAACACTTTCTAGGTACTTATTGGGGCCAAAATGAAATTTTCCAAAATTTAAACGTAGATGTTTATTTTGAGCTATCCTCTACATGTTGATATCATTTTATATATATATCCATTGATTAAATTCTGAGAGCACTCAAAACCTCACATGGCACAATATGAAGGATAAAATTTGTATAGTTTAAAAATTCTGAATTTAGGTTATTGTTTTGGATGGTTCTTTCTTGTCAAGACCTATTTTTGTGTATGTCGATTCTGTTAAACCAGATAGCCTTTGAACCCTATTTTTGGGATTCCCTCACGACTCTTTCGAATTCTTTTTGTGGTTCAAAATTCTACATGCAAAATATCCAGCTGTTTTGTTTAAAATTGTGGGAGGAGCTCAATCATCATGTAAACATTAGGAGGCTTCGATATGAAAAGCTGCAACACTAAACAGTAACCTTTGGTGAAGAGCTGTTGTATTCATATCTGAGTCATTTTTACTGTCAATGTGCATCATTATTTGGCTTGTGCATAAACTTATCTGTATTTTAGAAATTTAGCATCAGAATGTGACAAAATCAGTATTTAACGGATTATCTGTGTTAGAAAAAAAAAGTATGTGAATTACTGTTCAATAGTATCAGTGATTGAAGCGTTGTTACCAATAGCAGGTGTGATAGTTTCATTAGTGTGCGTTCAATTATCTCGTAACAAAGCATCATTGTTAAACATTTACGTTCTTTTTTTAATATTAAATGTTTGTTTTGAATTCCGCGCAAAGCCGTCCTTAGTTTAACAGTGAAAGACTAGAGGGAAGGAAACTAGTCATCACTACCCACCGCCAACTCTTGGGCTACTCTTTTACCAACGAATAGTGGAATCGACTGTCACATTATAACGCCCCCAGGATAAAAAGGCGAGTATATTTGGTAGGACAGGGATTCGAACCCCCGATCTTCAGTCAAGCGTCCTAACCACCTGGCCATGCCGGTCCCTATATTAACTGATTTTAATTTATATGTGTATCTTCTACCGTGCATGTAACCTGAAGTACCTGAAGAATTAATGTTTAAATGTTGAACAAAAAGCTAGAAGAAAGTTTATTTGAAACATATGGTCGAGTTTTTGTTTAAATATGATGTATACTTAAATATTATGCAAACACGTAATTCATGTCCATCCGTTACTGCACCTATTAAAAACTTTGTTTTTATTAAGCATCAGCAATTTTACCCAATAGCTATTGAACGTAGACGTAAAAAACTGACTGAGTAATTATTATTCTTTGCAATTATCAAATCTCACATTACATTTTCTTTTCATTTTTGTTTTTCCGCTTTATCTAAGGATTGTATAAATTTGACGTGCTTTTCTGGATACTACTGGTGAGTTTTCTTTTTTAGAAATAATTTTGATTTTTTTTACAGTTAGTAAGATGAAGTTTTGTATTTACAAAGGAAATAATAATGTAAATTATGTGAATGCAGAGAGCGGGTACTTATATAAGTATATATAACTAATATCATTGTCTTTGGAGTTCCAAAATATTTTGGTGTAGATGTAACAACTTCCTTGTAAATTGACGATTAAACCTCTTGATTTAATTTGATGTTTTATGATATCATCACACAGTTTATAATTACTCATATTTCTATAGAAATTAACATTAGTTTATTTTATAGTTTCCTTAGTTTTCTATTTTCTGTAAGTTGATATGTGTAGAGTACAATAACTATTCATTTTGAGTATTTTTTCAGTATAAGTAAATTAAAATATTTCTATAATGATTTTATAAACTTATAAGTGCATTGTGAAGATAATTTTGAAAATGAAATTATTTATGATATACATTTTTGCAAATCATGAACATTTTTTGGAACAATAGTTAAGCTTTTATTTCCAATTGATGGCGCCATATAAAACAAACTTCAGTTATTTGACACTGTCTCTATCGCGCTGAAACACCTCATTAGAAAGGTAGCTTTATTAAAGTTAACTATAATGTTGCGCTAAGCTGCATAATTTAAACTTGACAGGTCCATACACAGAACGTTTGAAATGGAGAGTTCTAATTTACGAGATCAAAAACCAACGCATATTGTGCGAAGCACAATCAGCAAGCAAAGCATGCTAATGGTACAGAGGTCTGGGGGCATGCTCCTCCCAGAAAATGTGTAAAAAATAGGTGCTATGAGATTAAATCTAGAAACAATTTTGTATGAAATATAGTTAAAACAATCGCATATCTGTTCACATAAAATCCACAAATATTTAAAACATGAAATACCATAACTGCGCTGTAACTATGTAAGCATAATTTTTTTACATCACAAAAATAGGGGGTTCTATCCGACCCCATCCCCACGTACTTGCATGCTTGAGGGAAAGGCAACATTAGTTATCTTTATTCCATACTGCGAAGTGTCGTATACAAATTTGGTTAAATGGCTATGTCATAAATGATTAAGAAGATGTATTAATCATTAACCTTATCACTTTTAATAATTTGATAGATATTTTGGTATTACTTTTTACACTTTCGCGAACTAAGGGTTATTCTCATATATATATATATATATATATACATACAGTCTTATAAGTCTAAAACAAAACAAAACAAAGAAGGCTAGAATCAAATATTGGTCCTCGGACCTTT